AAAAGCAGATATTAAAGAGAAATTTAGCAAATCAACTAGATTATCGAATCTAATTTGTTTTTAGTTTGTACACTTAGGTAATCATGAAAATTAAATTTTGACCAATGCATAATATTTAATAATGGTTTTACCAAACATAAATATCAGTCCATTTGGGGCCAAACAACAAACATAAAATTTCTAATCTTTTCTTTTGGGTTAGAAAGTGAAATAAAGATGCTAATATTATAGTTTACAAATAAAAATATATGTTTCTCTGTGTTTTAGTAATGGCAGCCATAAAGATCAGAATAGTATTAATATTTAAAGTCTCTCAAAAGCATTTCTTTTCTCAACCAATGGATACTAAAGATAGGCTCTTTTCAAAATTATTTGGGAGAAGAGTCAACACAGTGGAAGTCAACCAATAAAAAAAGATTCGTGACAATTTTTACATAGTCCCAAATTTCTCTCTCTGCATAAGAGGACATTTCTGCTTTAACTTTGTTAATTGTGTCATTTTGAGAACTCAACAAGTTATATGATAATCAAGTTGCTGACTGAGTTGGTCATTTGTTTCCTCTACACCTTCCTTTTCCTTGGAAAGGGAGGTAATAGACTGTTAAACAGCTGAATGCGTAATGATGTTCAGAACCTCGGGTTTCAAAGTAACAAGTGCTATCCATCATAATTTCTAGTCGAGCTAAAAGCTCAAATTCTCTTACTGACTCAACCCAGTAGATGAAGTCTTTATTCAATCCCTTCAATGGCAGATTTGCTCACAGGCAGTCCTCAAATTTTAGATTCCTATTTTGGCATGCCTCCAGGTCCTGATCTAATCTAGAATAGGTCTATCCAAAGCTTTTACTTTTTCCAAGTTTTAAATGATTTTAAGACCATGTAAAATTTGGAACTCACTAACAGTTTAGGTCTAGGCAAGGATTGATCCAAATTGCTTTGCTATTTTTCTCAGGCTTTTTCTACTACCAGTATTATACTGAAAGAAGGCAACGTCTGCTGCTCAGTACATGACATTCTATTTTAATCATAGGGTATTAGTGTATATAAAATCAATATCAAAAGATGGATGCTTTCCCTTTTTTGTGGGAAATGTGGATAGAGGTGATGTCATTCATTCCTATGGCTTTAAATTCCCTGTATTTATATCTCCAGCCCAGACTTTTCTCCGTAGTTCAAGCTTCTATATTCAATTCCTACATGAACAACTCTCCTGGTATTTCAAATTTAACTTCTCTGAAATTAAATTCTTTCTTCCTGCCTCTCCACCCCAACTTGCTTCTGCTCCTCCCTCAGCCTCCAACTCCCAATCTGTTCCTCCCTCAAACTTTCCTCTCTAAGTCAATGGCTTCACTAGCCTCACTACTAAAGCCAGAAATCATGTAGCCATCCTTGGCTCAATTCTTTCTCTCATCTGCTACATTCAATCCATCATTGTATTAGTTCTTTGAGGCTGCTATAACAAAATACCATAGACTGGGTAACTTATAAAGAACAGAAATTTATTTCTTACAGTTCTGGACACTGGCAAGTCCAATATTAACATGCTGGCATATTTAGTGTCTGGTGATACCCCCTTTCATAGATGGTCATCTTTTCACCGAGTCCTCACATGGTGGAAGGGGAAAAGGAGCTCTATGAGGCCTCTTTTATAAAGGCACTAATTTCATTCATGAAGGTTCAGACTTCATGACCTAATCACTTCCCAAAGGCCTCACTTCTTGATACCATCGACTTGGGGGTTAGGATTTCAACATATGAAGTTTGGGGCATATTCAGTCCACTGTAATCAGCAAGTCCTATTATATCATTAAAATCTATCTTCAATCCATCACTTCTCTCCCTCTACCTCCTCTGTTACCACTCTAATATATCACCATAGTATTTCATCTGAGCTATTACAATGACTTCAGGTTTCCTAAGTGGTATTCCCGCTTCCATGCTTGTCCTCTTTCAATCCTTTCTCCTCAAAGTGGCCCATGATACTTAGAAAAATTAATACCATGCATATGATTACCCTGCTTTAGATCTTTACTGGTTTTCCACTGGACCAGTAATAAAATACAAGCACTTATCATGGCAAGCACTGCCCTACAAGATCTGGCTGTAGAAGCCTACTTAGATTTCATATTCTATCATTCTCTTCCCAGTTCAATAAGGTCCAGTTGCACTTGTCTTCCTTCTATTCCTCAAATATGCCAAGATCTCTTTTGCTTTAGGACCTTTTTGCTTTGCCTATGGTGCCCCTTCCTGGCTTCATATGGTTGACTCCTTTGCATCTTCAGGTCTTGTGATAAATGTTACCTACTCAGGGAGATCTTCCCTAAGCTCACCAAGTCCTTCTACCTTGTCATTGTTTTCTCTTGTAGCACATTTTTTTTTTTTCTCATAGCACTCACCTCATGCTCTAATTATTTAGTTTTTGATTTATTGTCTGTCTTCCTTAGAAGAATTTATGTTCCATGAGATGTGGACCATGTACATATGTCTGTTGTTAATATTTGTTGAATGAAAGTCATGATTATTTGAATGGATGAATGAAAGCTTATTTATTCTTTGAACCCTGATTTTATGACAATAGATTCTATATTATTTGCATTGTAACATTTTACTGATGATCCATAGTGTTGCATGAACATTTGTGATTGATACTAAGACACAAGGTTTTCCAGATTTTTTAAAATGTCATATACACATACAAAGTGATCACGAGGTTGAAAGAAATTATTTTTACTTTCATAACAAAATCATATGGATTATTGCTTACATTTTGGATTATTTTAATTAAAAGATTGTTTTCAATGTAACTATTCTGACTTCTTCTCCTTCTTTATTTCTCTGTCTACGCAGGCAGGCAGGACTCTGGGCCCAAGTTGAGGTCTAGTATTCAGATGTGGGGTGAAGAACACTTTTTGGAGAGATATGCTCTGTTGAGAGCCAATTCTGAAGAAAGTGTCTTGGGGAAATGCCAAGTTAAATTCCAGGCAGCCTGTTAACATGAATCATATGGCTGAAAAAGAAGCTCTGTATGACCCCCGAGGTGGAGCTGGGCAGACCTGACTCTAGAGAGCTTAAAAGGAATGGAGGGAATGGGTCCAGAATGAGTTCCTGAAGTAGATTTTAGATTTTGTCAGGTGTTTACCCCCTCAGGTGAACGAGATATGGTAAAAGGTGTTGACTTAGCACAATTAATAACGAGTACAAGTACAGAGCAGATCACACTTTAGGTTCCACTAGATACAAGAGAATCTACAGGGCTCTGAAAATTTTGACCCTTAAAATTGTAGGACTCTCTATTCCTCTATTCCAATGTGAATATTCTTTCGATAGTTAATCATTTGCCTCTTCCTTTTAAAAAGAATTCATCTTACATGATCTATTTTAACTTTTGACTTTTTTTTTTTTTTGCTTGTATATCCCAATCTCATTAACACAAATGTGGGTTGATGGCATATTTGCTTGTATTCTAAATATTTTGTCTGGTGTGTTCTAATGTCCATACATGAGTATCAATAATAGTGATAAATATAATGAATACACATATGTGTGATGAGGCCCTGGCATTTCCTTAAGTTGGGACCAACTTCATCCAAACACCAACCAGGAAAAGCCAACAGGGATGGGCAAGGATTATGCCTGCCTGCTTCTTCTCTTCATCACTTCCTTTTATTCTCCTTCCTTCATTAATTTACTAACTCAATACATATATATTTATTAATCACTTACTGTGTGTATTGTTCAATGTGCTAAAGTTAACTTACAAAACAAGAAAATATAAACTCTTAAGGGTCTTCCAAATCAAAATTTTATTTGAACAATGAAATATACTCACATGAAAATATAAATATTACTATAAGGAATGGTGCAGTTCTTATGATCTAAAATAATATTTTTCAAACTATAGATTGCCAGTCATCCTTTCCTGGGTCATAAATAAATGTAATAAGTTGGGACTATACCAAGTAATAATAATAAAATAAATAGGAGATAATAGGAAAAATATCAGTGTGTACTGCGGGTGATATATGTTATCATAAAATATTTGGAGATGTATGTATGCTCTGTATGTCAATACGAAGTGTATACCTTACTGTGAGACAGGGTTCAAAAAAATGTTTGCAAGACACTATCCAGAGTAGTTTAGAGGAGAGACAGATTATTTTAACTCGAGTGGTCAAGGAAGCAAGACTTTGAGGGGCTGAAAGTACTTAAATGAGGCTTAGAGGAGATGGGATCACTTTTCAAATGAAAGAGCTACAGAAAAAGAATCCTATAATTGTGAATTAAGTTATAACCAGAACAGAAAGTGAACTCTATAGAACCAGCTTATTCTTGAATGAATGACTACTCCAGGACCATCCTTCCAGAAACTTCTACGAAACACATAACCAACATACAGCTAAACCTATCTTTGATGCCACAGGAGAAACTTTCAACAGAGTTGTTCCTGTGCGGTACACCACACTTAGAAGGGTGATTCAAAATAGTCTTCTGTCCAATTGCTTGTTCCAAATATTAATGTATTTAAAACAGTGAGACTTTTTTTAAAATGTGAAAGGCCTAAAGATAAATACCTAATTCAATAAATTGAAAGTGATGTTTCCTTCCTCCCCTGCCGCTTGTATTAAATTCACTTGTGACTTGTATTGGACAGTGGCTTCTCTGAGCTGTATGGTCTAATATTTATCGGACAAAAATTCAAGGACTCAGGACAACTGATATATTTTAGCATTTTTTTGATACAAAAGAAGGAAATAAAAAGAATAAAAGCAGTCAGGGTGGCCTCTGGAGAAGGAGAGCTGTTGTTGCAGGAAGCTTGTAAGTTAATGAAAATTCACCGGGACTCAAGAGAGATGGAGAGAGGGGAGAAAGGAGGAGATGGTGAGGGAGGGGGAATAAAAACTCTTCCTTTGCAGCTGGCCCTCTCCCTCATTTGTTGCTCCAATAAGCAGTAATTAGGTCCTGAGCTAATGGTGTCAGCTGATCTGCTGTTTTTAGGCTAGACCCAGAGGAATCTCCATGGAAACCCTGCTGGAGTCGTCCCCCCACCTGGATGCTGCGTGCTCCTTTCCGCCACCTGGCTGCCGGCGGGCCCGCTGCTACCTCCTCCTGCCTCTAACCTGCAGCCTGCAGCATGCGCACTGCCCCCGGGATCCCTAAATGGGACAATTCTGCCCGTGACGTCAGCGCCCAGCCGTCTCCACAGAAACTTTTGTCCCATTGGCCAATCAGAGAGCTTGGAAGGGGCCGGGGAGGGGAGGGGGGAGGAGAGGGAAGTGGGAGGGGTGGGGGTGAGGGGAGAGGCGAGAGGTTTAGTGTGTGGAGCAGCTTGCGCTCCGCCCGGGCTGTCAGTCCCGGCTCCAGCCGCCGCGAGACCTTCCCGGAGACGCGCGCACACACAGCGCACCCCCGGCGCCCCGCGCACCCTCGCTCCCACACACGCGCACACACTCAGCCTGGCCGAGCAGGAGCCACTGACCATTTTGCAAGTGCCGGGACCAGCTGCGGCGCGGTGGGCACAAACACCCGGTGTTCCCATTCGGGGCTTTCGTCCGGGAGACGACGACGAGGGGAGAAGGTGGGCTGCGACGCGGACCAGGCGCCGGGCACAGGTCGGGCAGCCTTCCTGGCACAGCCGCTCCCCGGGACGGGCGCGGGCCTCGGCGGAGAGTAGAATAAAGAGGAGCGGCCGCGGCCGCTGCGCGAGGAGGATGGGAACTCCCCTATTTCCAGCTCTGGAACAGACGGATGGAAGTCCTGAATGGAGCAACTGCTGACTTCATTTGCTTGGAAAAAATCGTCCAGAGGAACTCATATTTGGCTACTCTGAGCAGTGGAGGGGGTGTCCATGACGTGGCAGGGGGAAAATAGACAACCGAAACCTCCCGTGTGAACTGCAAACTGTGTCCAAGCAAGGGGAAAATGATCTCTCTACATATTTCAATTTCACTCAAAGGGTTTCAAGCATCTGTATTATAAACTTACTTCTATGGCTTGTACCCAGTTCAGCAGAAACCAGAGGAGTCCTGTCTGGGGACCCCATTATTATCCGGGAGACCCGCAGCCAGCGGCCTGCCTTCGTTTACCCACGTCCCCCTGGAGCGGATGTCTGTCTGGGGTAGTACAGTTTATCCTGTAGAACTATGGCCAAATCTCCATGAATGCTTTGCTAATTTCCAGCACTTAACTCCGGGGACCTACATGAGGGGCTGAAATTTATTCCAAAGGCATCCGAAGAAATGACATTTTAAACCGTTTTTTTTAAAAAAAAATCCTGAAAACAGGATTTGATAGGCTTAAAAACATGACAGGTAAGAACTTTCTCTCTTTCTAGTCCCAGAACGCCCGTCGCAGGAAAGGCCGAAGCAGAGCAGGACCCAGGAGGAAGGCGAGCCCCGGGCCCCGAGTGCCCTTCGGGGCTTACAGGCGCTCGGCCAGCGGCTGCTTTCGGGAGAGGCACAGCCCTCGCTTCTGGACCACGGGGCCAGCGCCTGGGGAAGCTTCTGGGGCGCGCGCGGGGAGGCGGCGCTGCGCTCCACCTGCCCTGCCCCGGACGCAGCCTGGGGGCGAGGCGTCGAGGGACCAACCCAATTCAATATTAGGAATTTTAATAAACCAAGGAATGGGATTTTAATTATTCAAAACCTAGCTCCTCTGGGCCAGATGCTGTTGGGATGGTCCTGGTCACACAGTATTAAAGAGACCTACCACTAAGAGGACGAAAAAAGCGTCCTAGACATCCGCTGCAATTACGAATGAACCAGACTTGGTAGCACAGGGCATTGATTGCTGGTGCCCAACCGGACGGACCCTCCTCCCCGCTCTCCCCTTTCCTCCCCCACCCGAGGCAGCCTCCTGCGGCGGCGGCCGGGACCTCGCGCCCCTGCATCGTGGCCGGGGCTGCGTTTTTCATGAGCCCGGGGTGAACAGGTGCGAAGTGCGGTGGGAGCATCCGGCCAGCGGCCGGGCGCAGGGACCATGGAGAGCGAGCGCGACATGTACCGCCAGTTCCAGGACTGGTGCCTCAGGACTTACGGGGACTCAGGCAAGACCAAGACGGTGACCCGTAAAAAATACGAGCGGATCGTCCAGCTCCTCAATGGCTCCGAGTCGAGCTCCACGGACAACGCCAAATTTAAATTCTGGGTCAAATCGAAGGGCTTCCAGCTGGGCCAGCCGGACGAGGTCCGCGGGGGAGGCGGCGGCGCCAAGCAAGTGCTCTACGTGCCTGTCAAGACCACGGTGAGTGACTCGCCTTCCTCTGTTATTTGTCTGCGGGAGCAGCCCGGCGGGGCGGGAGGAGGGGGGAGAGGGGGGAGCCGAGAGCCACCGTTGGCTCGTGTGGCCCCCACCTCCCTCAACCCCCTCCCCAAGTCGTCCCCACTCGCATTAGCCAGGCGCGTTTTCCCCGCCGTGGAGTCTTTGTGGTCCTTTATTTTAAAGCGGCAGCGCACATCCCGAGCTGACCGCCCTCCCCGCCTGCCGGCTCCCGGACCTGCTGCTGGAGCTTCTTTCCCCCGGTCGGGCGGCGTCCGACGTCCTCGGGCCGGGCCATTGTCCCACGTCCTTCACTGGGCGCCTGGCGCGTGTCCCACCGCCACCACCGCGCATAAAGGCCAGGCTAGAACCCCAGTCGCACGCTCCGATAACAGGCGATTCTGATCGATTGATAGTCTACAGTGTCTCCTTATTGGCATACAGCCCGAATGTGGCGCTAGCGGGGGACGTGGGGTTTTCCCCAGGACACTCTCAGGTTTTATTGTTAGACCGCCGCCCAGGAGACGCGGGGCAGTTCGAATGCCTTGATCGCTCCCACAGACCTTTGCCAACGACTATTTAGATTGTAGATAAGGTCCTGGAGATTCCTCCCCCCCGCCCCTCTTTCCCTTCCTCACTCCCCGCTTCCACAAATAAAGCTGCAGCTAGAAGATGAACAACAAAGAGAGATGGGTTTGGGCGCGATCAAATGGTGTGTGTGTGTTCCTCTTTCTGGGGTTGCGCTAGGCTCATGGCCACAGCGCTCTAGCCCAGGCGCTGCGAGGTACTGGCAGTGAGAGCCCAGTATATCTCAGCTTCACACTGCAGACGCCCGTGGGGCTGGGGAGCGGCAGCAGCGTCGATTTTCTTTACAAGAAGATGGGAACTGTGGGCTACAAGTAGGATTGCAGATCAGATGTATAAGACCTTTCTGCATCATGCTACGGTGGGTACTCGCCTGGAGTAGGGGTGGGGGAGGCTATCTGGCATCCTTTGTATTTTTTGCCTCGCTTTGGGTTTCTTGAGCATTTGCTCCTTTCTCTTCCTCTCCTACTGGCAACTGTTTCCCCATGCAATATCCTGGAGGATGCTTAGAAAGGAGACGTCTTGAAAGCTATTCTATCTCTAATGGAAGTATATTAAATTGGAAATATGTGCATGAAAGGTTTTTTGTTGTTTGTTTTTTCAGAGCATTGTTTAGAGGACTCAGGTTTGGGAATCAGTTTATGGTTTCCTGAGATTAATTAGAAATTGTTGTTTGAAGGTTGTATATTTCTTTTGGAATTTATATAGAAAGTGGGAAATGGAAATAAAGGTGAAATGGAAACACATGAAAAAAGTTCTGTTGTTTTTTCTTTAATGTACTATTGTTAGGTTCCTAGGAGGTAGATGTATAAACGTAGCCTTATTCCTTTAACATGTGGCACTGCTAAAGACAATGGTGAGATTATTGTCTGGCTTTACTAAATAATGAGGACTAGATCGGCATGAATTAGAACTGAGATTTATTTACATCTGGATGAGCCAGAAGTCTGTTGTAGAGAATGAAGTGCTTTGAGTCATTTGTATTGGGAGTAACATTATGAAGCTGATGTAAAAATTAATTTATTGTTAGATTAGAATTCAAAACATAAGAACTTATTTTCCTCTGGGCAGTACTAAGTTAACGGAATGAATGAAATAATCATTTAAGATATATTTACTTAAAGTATACTTTAATAATATTGTATGTGTTTTAAAGAAACATTGCTAACTGGGAAGTTTGTTTTTCGCCCCTCTTATGTTAAACTTAAGTTCCTCTGTTTCATTGTCAGATTCACTTGTGTATTGGTACAATGAGTTTATACTTGTATGGGTTTAGCTACATCCAATATGTGCATTAATGCATGTGTCCTTTTAAAACATTAATTAAAAACTCTAAATAAATTCTGTAACAGTTTCAGAGGTACTAAGATAATCATGAATTCCAGTTATTCAAACTAGTATTCATATGCTCAGAGACCCCTATTTTCAGTCAAAAATTATTGCAGAGTTGTTAAAGAATTACTGCTAAGACTTCTAATATAGAGTGACAACTCCGAGGGTAATAATAAAATAAAACGTGTTCCTCTTTTCAGGAAAAATACCAACTATTTATGGGCGATCTAATTCATCAGGTGATATTCTTAGATAATGGTTTCCATGTAGTTAAGAGCTCTGCTTTTCATTCAAGCCTGTTTTGAAATATTGAAGAGGTTTTTAATTTATGAACTCTTTTATTGCTCTTTATGAAATTTTTATACTGCTCCTGACATAGAATTATAGGCTCCTCCTTCTCTGAGAGACAGCCAATCATCATTTCAATGAGTTAAAAAATAAATAAAAGGTCCCCTTTTATCATGTGTTTTCCCATATTTTGAATTGTTCTTTTCTTAAACATATGTTGATTTTTCTTTATAATGGTGGGAGTAAAATCACCAAGAAGACAAAAAATATATTTTCTTTTAATTCAAAGTCATATATTGATCAAAATAAAATACTGTATTTGAATGGTATTTTCAAGTAGACTAAGAATCATCCTAAGCTACTTGAGGTTTAAGGGTTCTCAGCTGGCTTTGCTGTCAGTGAGAGATGCTTTGCTCTTGATGTTGCAGTAACCCACTGCTGCTAATAATTAGACGTCATTACTACTACGAAAGGGGAAAGAGAAAAGGGGAGAGGACAGGCTGAGGCTAATTAACTGTTCTAGTTTAATGAAAGAAAGAGAGACTGATCGCACCTGGGAGGCTATACTAGAACGCGGTAGGCACACTACATAGACTTAATGGAAACAAGACTATCGTTCAGTCTCAAAGAAGCTTCTACATCTTATTTTCCCCAAAGAAGAGGTGTAGATTTGCAAATACTCTCCCCCGCTAAAGCCTAAACTTAACTGATGATAAAATCAAGCAAGTGACAGCTGACTTAAAGATGTTGACTACTGGAAAAGATAAACATGCCCTTTGATACTTGTCTTGGCCAGGTCCAAAGCTGAGAGGACATATCTGTCGCTGATGTTTAGATTGCTCTGTGATCGGGGAGATACTGTTTGGTCACCAAGCAACAACATCCTGCGACTCAGCCATTTTAAGTCTGGAGTGGGACCTGTGCTTTTGTGCGCCTGCCCACACGTGCATAGCATGAGCATATAGTTTGTTGAGTATCCCATCTGTGTTTTTTCCATACTTCCAGTATTTATATTTCTTTCATTAAAGGTGTCAAAAATTTAGAAGAATGAAGTGATGAATGACTTAAAACAGTTCCGAAAAATATATAACAAATGTCTGACATTGATTGTAAGAAACTTTTAATCAGTACTAAATTCATTTAAGTATGGTTACCTCTTTGATAGTTCTCATTTAGTTTGTTTCTAGACACTTTTGATCTTGATTAACATTTTGTTTTCTGGTAACAATTAGTTGAGACATCACACTTATAATTTAAATTACCAAAACATATTATATCACTTGATATATTATGAATGATAAATTTAGAAAATAACCAGAAAATTTATTAAACCCTATTTTTTAAAAGCCAACTGCGTTGTATAAAACATTAGGAATTTTGGTAAACTCATGTTTTTGTCTTTCAGTCTCAAGCAAACAAAATAATGAGTACCAAAATTGTATAATTAAATAATATAAGTAATACTTATCTTGACCAATATTTGTAGGAACAGACACAAAGGTCAAAATTTTGCCTTTCTTGTATTTTTTCCTTATTATTTATTCTAATACAGATCATAAAATGAATTTTAATCCAGAAAGGAAAATACATTGTCTTTAGTTATGTCATTTATAAATGATGATTTATTCAGTTCTGCAATCTGTTTTCGTGTTATTCTTGCTGTGCATACTGCTAATTGATTACAGTGATTAGAATGAATATTCATGGACTGGTTCATAAACAGTTACTGTTTTTGTTCTCTGACTATGGTTTTGGTCGTAAGTCCTTCGTACTACATCAGAGTGAAAGGAATAATACCTCACAACGAGTCTGTATACCTTTCCATGTGGTCTAACTTCATGCCTGAGTCACACATCACATATATTAAACTTTGAGCTGGCATTTGCTATAGAGCCAGTTGTCTATTGTGATACTTTGTATCTGTGACATAGAGACAAATCACAATAGTAGTTAATGAGATAGAAGCACATTTTTGCTTATCTTCTAAACTTCTATAGTGGGCATTGCTGCTGGTAGCCAATGCATTGTTCTCTTCATTAAAGTGCTTTGGGAGGACACTGTGGCATAGGATTTTGGGATCAAACAGATCCCAAGGTGAATCTCAGCAATGTAGCTTCTTAGCTGACTTTAGTGGTTCCTTGTGGAATTGATGTGAGGAATAAATCACCTATGACAAGTCCCTACCATGGCACCATTGTCAGCTCTTAGGGAATAGTGGGGACCTTTAGGAGAGGCCACCTTGGCTTAAGTATTAAGGGGCAAGGGACTTAAAAAGACAATCCTCCTGAATATAAAGGGGAAATTAGACTCTGTGTATATGAAGACTAACCCACACTTATTTCCTAAGGTACCAGTTCTTGATTTTATCCTTGGTTCTTTCTTGTCCTATTAGTAACCACAATGGGGGTGGGGGCAAGATTCAGCACTCATATATATTCCTTTTATGAACTTCCTGAGCCAGCTGGGATTTTACTCCTCAAGGGTTTACTCACTGCATGGGATAGAGGAAAGATGAAGAAGACAATACAGGCATATAGCAGCAGAACTTTCAAGAGTTTCAATCCTATGTCAAGATCATAAAGTCCTTTTCTTAATAGCTGTTGTATTTGTTAAGCCTTTTTTAACTAGGAAATATTAATGTGAATCTAATATGTTTCAGGTTATATTCGTTTTTATAATTGTTGGATAACAAGATAAAATAAACTTCATGGCCATCATAGATGGCAAGAAACATGGCCTAGTGAACAGAGTGTAGATTTTAGAGCATAATTTAAATCCTG